TGGAACTCCCGATGATTATGAAAAATTGATAAAGAATGTTGTGATGTAATGTTTCGCGTAGACCAAAAGCATCAGTACTTAGTAACTTTTTTTTAACAAAAAAGAATGAAATCATTAATGGGAAATATACATTTCCGGAATTGGACACAACTTCAGATTTATTATTCAAAGCAAGTAAGACTATTGATTCAAATATGATTAATAAAGCTATTTATGAGGTAGCTAGTAAAAGCAAGATACTTGAAACAAATAAGATTGAAGCACTTCTAGAATATTGGAATCAATTTGAAATTAAACTATTCAGGCTTATTCAGGCATTATAAACATTCTAAATCTTTTTTTTTTTATAAATTAATTAATATTTAGTAGAGACAACATTATGATTTAGTTTATTAATAATGGACGTTATAGTTTTCTTTTAACAATTCTAATAAAACTCCCAATAAAATTATTACAATTTGCAATATCTAAAATATTAATTTGGACTTTTGGTAAATGCTAAGAACTAAGTCTTTTAACAGCTTTAGTTCCAGCAAAGTTTTCAATTTTTGTAGCACCTTAAATTTCTTCAGCTTTAGTAGCATTTTTTTTTTAAAAAAAAATTTCAATCTATAACGTGTTGAAATTGCTAATGTTAAAAGACACCAATGCTGAAGCTATAAAGATATAGTACTAGTAAAAGATGCTAAATTTTATAAATTGAAAATAAAGTGTTATTTCAATAATGAATCCAGTCAAGAAAAATCTTAAATTGTGATATGTATTATCAGATTGAAGCAAGTATGATCAATATATTAATAATTTCCAGTATTTCGAATGTACAGTACTTGCGTTTACCAAAACGATAAGAAAACTGATCGTATAGTGATTAAATTACATGACAATACAATTTTCATAAATCCGACACCGATACTATGGAAATTTAAATTTGTAAGGTGCTTATAGGTTTTTTCTTGGCAGTGCTCGTAATTAAAGACAATTTAAGTTTACTACGTAATGATTAAATTATTGCACATTTTATTCATATTAATTTATTTTTTTCATACATGCGTACGCACGTTATTAAATAACAATTAGTCAATATTAGACAAGCATTACCTCAAAAGAATAAAATTTATAAATTATTGATGACCAATGTTTTATAATTCATTTGTTCATAGTTTTTAAATTTTGTAATACAATTTACAATTCATTTTAATATACTTCACTAATCCGAAAAAAAGTAAAATACACGTATTTAGTACGTACGTAAAAGTTGACAATAGCGCCAGTTGTACCCTCATCGTTGCTAGTATTATATAAATCATTTTCCTTTTCTTAGTAAATTTGCAAAAGTAACCAGTGTAATTAATGAATTTGTATAGATAAAAACGTGGACAAAATTTAGACATGCTACACAAAAAAAAAAGGAATGCTAATATCTCAAAATTTTACTGTGATAAATTAATAGACTTATTGTATAAAAATATTTAGCAAATAACTTATATATTTTAAATAATTTTTAAATGCATGCTAAAGTAAAAAAATAAAACTACATAAACATGAATAATACAAAAAAGACCTGTACGTACAATACATCAAAAATATATACGATAACAAATTTGAAGTTAAAAATAATTTCAATTTATGGATCATCAGGAATAAAATCTGAAAATTTATTAAATTTGCATCCGCGAATACATTATAATCTGCAATTGACTCGTTATATCGTTTTAACTTCGCATACTGTATGTTTTTGTCCGATAAAGCAAGGCTTCGAGACTATCTGGCTTAATTTCCAATGCCATGTTTAAATATGCGAGTGATTCATTGTAATGACCATATATAAAATATAATTTTCCATGAACTACATGTGCTGTTACATCATTTAAATTATTTTCTAAGATCTCATTAGCAAGAGAAAGAGCTTCTTCATAATTATTCATATTATTATGCGCTATTGACCGCATTTCCAAAATTTCTGGATTATCTGGGTCAAGTTCCACTGATATAAATGAATCTGCAAAAGATTTTTTTGAATTTTTACGTGATGCATAAGTTTTTCCACGAGATCTAAACTGTAAACCATATGATAGTTTGATTTTGGCCCCAAAGCTTTATCAAAATCTGCAAGTGACTCATCATAACGATCAAGGAAACGGTAGGTCTCTCCAAGAAATACGAGAGCCAAGGGATTATTTGGTTCAATGCTCAATATTTTACTAAAGTTTTTAAGAGATTCTTGATAATTCTTGGAAAATAAATAACCCTTTCCTCGTGTGACTAAGAATATTACATTATTTGGTTCTATCTCCAAAACTTTGCTTAAATCTGCAAGAGAATTTTCAAAGAGTTCTAAACTAAAGTAATTATCCCCTCGTGTTTTAGTGCACATAACATAAATTATTTGGTTCTAATTCCAAGGCTCGATTTAAATTGTGTAGTGATTTATCATAATCATTCATCAATCGATAATTATTCCTCGATTTATTAAAATAAAAGTATCATTCGATTTAATTTTTAATACTCTTTCTGAATCTGTGAAAAATCGATGCAACATCTTACACATTTTTGATTTAGATAAACGATATTTTCGTTTCCAATATTTTACATAAGTCAACACAAAATTTATCAAATCCATTCTAATATATGTATTGGCACGAAGTTTTAATGCTGTAATATTATTTTCAGCCTCTAGTTTCAATGCCTTATTTAAATGTTGAAGTGATTTGTGGTATTGATTATTTTCCTGGTAAAATTCTCCAAGCTTAAATAAAATATGCATGTCATCAGGGCTATTTTCTACTTTATTTGTTAAATCATGTGTCATAATTTGAATTATATTCAATAATATATCTTGCATTTCCAATGTAGTTTCATTATCTGGTTCAATTTTTAAAGCTTTATCCAAATCAGAAAGTGCATCATTAAAATAGTTCATTTTAAAATATGTAGTGGCCCGATCTGCTAAAATTGGAACATTGTTTAGATCTATATCCAGCGACTTGTTTGAATTCTGAAGCGAAATATAAAATATATTAATATTCATATAAATTAGTCCACACATGTGCAAGATAGAAACATCATCCGATTTCATGCCAAGTGCTTTATTCAAATCAGCAAGAGAATTATCATAACGGTTCATTATCATATTAAGTTCTCCACGCATCTTTATCTCTAATGCTGAAGCTAAATCACAAAGTGACTCATCATAATATTTCATTTTACGCTTTTTTAAGATGTAAGTATTATTTGGATCTGCTTCTAATTCACTCTTTAAATCTTGAAGTGATTGCTTATAATCTTTTAGTATCATTAAGCTTCTCGCGTGCTTCCAATAAAGATATATATTATCAGGTTCAATTTCTAAAGCTTTATGTAAGCTTCGAGGAAACATTTTATTTTAATATATAAATTTGCTCGAATTTCTAAAATAACAACATCGTCTGGATTAATTTTCAATGTCTTATTTAATTTATAAATGAATTATCATGACGATTCATCATCTGAAAAAACTCTGCACGTATTTTTTGTATAGAAATAATATAAGTATCATTTGGATTTATTTTTAAACGCATTATTTAAATCTTCAATCGCCTTTTTTTAATTGCCTAATTTTATGTAGTAACGACTGCGTAAAATTAATGCAGATATATTAGTTGAATCGATTTCTAACAATTTATTTAAATCCAAAAGAGATTTGTCAAAGTTGTTTAATTCGAAATAAGTATGTCCTCGTGATATCAATCCAAACACATGGATCAATTTCTAAAGCTTTGTTAAAATCTTTAAGAGATAATTCATATTGTTTAAGTTCTAAATAAACTTTTCCACGAATCCTTAGATTAGATGCATTATTTGGTTCAATATTCAATGCTTTGTTTAAATCTTCAATGGATTCATCATAACGCTTAAGCATCTGTAAGTTTCTGCGCGAATTCTCAGAGAAAGGTTCAAATTTCAATGATTTATCCAAATCTGTAAGAGATTCCTCATAACGATTTAACATTCGGTATACGTAAAGCTAATAACAATGGATCATTTTGGTAAAGTCCTAACTTTTCACTTAATTTTAAAAGTGATCGTTCATGATGATTTACCATGTGATAAGAAGTTCCGTGAGATTTTAAAAGTTATAGTTGAATTTTTGAGGTATTATTTCGATCTTTATCCTGCTGAATTTTTAATAAAGTTTTTAGTGCAAGGCTATTTCTATCGCACAATTTATATTATCAAATGCTTTATCATAGAAACCTAATTTGTTAATAAACCTGTATTTGCTGTCTAATTTTTATCACTTTATTTAAATCTTCAAGTGATTCATATCTATTTAGCATACGGTAACATTCACTTCGATGTATTAATTTGTAATCATCTGGCTCGGCTTTATTAAGATCATTAACCATGCCTGCCGCAACAAAATTGTCACGGCGGATCCTCGATTTTGATTGGCTAACGGCCGAGGATCTTCAAAATTTTGGCCCGCATTACATAATTGTTTACTAATTTCC